AAGAGTCACCATGGAGTTGAGAAAGGATGAATGGTTCCTCACACCTCTCCACTGCTCTAGAGCAGCCCAGAAACTGAAGGAAGAGAAAGATCCTTCATATCATCTTCCTACAGGGGAAGGTACCATGTTTATGGAGGACTTAGTATATACTGGCCACACTTACTCCTCACAACCGTCCTATAAGGCACTATCATTATACCCATCATACAGATGGGAAATGTGAGTCCCAGAGAGATTCAGCAACATGGCAAATGGTAGAGCTGGAATTTTTACCAGGTCACACTGACTGTACTGCTCTACTCTCTCTGCTCTGCTCTCAAGGGTGCATCAAACAAAGCTATGCCGCACAACCATGGGTAGTTTGGTGGCCAGGGAAATCTTTAGTTGAGGAGACCAGAAGACGGAGTATTGACCACTGGGGGCACCCTGCTTGTTTCAGATTAGAAATTCAAACACTTGAGAGAAAAACTGGTTTGTTTTCCTCCCTCTCTCAGAGATAAGATTTGGCCGGGGCCTTGGTCAAACTCCCAGGGCCCCCAAAGGAGGGACAATTTGCTATAGGAGATAAGGCTCGGAACCTGGTGGGGGGATGTTGATTGGGAGAGAAATGGCTGCTGGGGGCCAAAAGCCCCAGAAACACCGAGTCTCTCCCACAACGCACAGTTGGCCCATTAGCACACACCCCATTGTAGAATCTGACTACGTTAGAGGTATTGAGCTCAGTCAAATGGGGACAACCAGTGGCCCCAGCTTTCTTCACTGGGAACTGAAAGGCAGACTAGACTCAGCTGGCCAGACACCTCGATCTCTAGCTCACGGTCTCCCCTCACTCATGTCTTCTAGACGGGATCTATTATGGAGACAATCGCTTTAACACTGTGAGCGAGTCAGGAACAGCCACGCTGAAAGCTCGGCCCAGAGTCCGGCCCCTGCTGACCTTCCTTCCTCTGGTGAGTACAGTTCTGCTCTGGGATCTGAGGAGCTTCTCTGAGTGGGGACACCTCACCTGCCACAGAGGAAGCAGCCCCACCTGCCCTGACCTGAGTGGATGTCACCCTCTGCCCATTCCCTTTCTTCCTGATGCCAGGGTGGCTACAGAGAGGAGGCATAGCCGAGGCTTATGGCAGGAAGTCTGGGATTAGAGCTGATAGCTCCTGTGGGACTGAAACCCTAGGAGAGGTCATGGAGAAGTTGTGTGCAGAGGTGACACAGCAGTGGATACTCCCAGCTAAGCAAGTTCCTTTTCCACAATCACTGATGGCTGCCTGCTTCATGCCAGGGGCCATAGTAGGTTCTGGGATACAGAGGTGACTGAGCCAGAGTTGCTGCTCTCAAGGAGCTCCCTGCCCACTGCAGGAGATGAGTGAGTAGCCAGACTGTTAGAACACAGGCCACAGCAGGGACAGTGAGTCCAGCCTTAATGGGTGGTCAAGGAGGGCTTCCTGGAAGAGTGGATACCTGAACTGCCTCATATAGCAGTGACCCTTGGGAAAACGCTATATGGGACAGATTTTTTATGGGTCTAAAACTACAGGAAACCAAAAAACTCCCTTCTGGAGCCTATGGTTGGGCTTTACTTCTTTGACAAGGGAGAAAGGCCCAAACAGCTGTTCTGCTTGCTATGATGAGAATTCCTGGGTTATCTAGGACATTCTAGATAAGTGCTGACCAATAGAAATATAATGTAAGCCTCATATGCAATTTAAAGTTTTCTAGTAGTTACAGTAGAAGTAAAAAGAAAAGGTAAAATAATTTTGATAATACATTTGACTTAATATAGTCAAAAGATTATTATTTCAACACTTAATATAAAATTAGTAATGAGAAAAAAATAGTAATGAGATACTTACATTCTTTTTT